AATGACTGGCTGGGGAGGCGAGAGGTCGTCAAATGCCACTTTTTCAATCTCCCTGAACTCCTCGTTGCAGCCGTCAAAGAGGCTTCCATGTCGTCGAACAGATCACTCACGATGCCACTGTAGTCGATGGCCGTGGGATCAGAGAGCGCGGGGTCTATTGGCATGTTGAGGGGCCCCTCCAACATGACATCTCGCAAGCCAAGAGTGTCAGGCACGGTGGGCTCCGACGCACGGGAGTAGTCTTGCGCTGCTTGCAAGTCCAAACCCGCGTAGAAATCCGAGTTGAAGATGTCCATGATCAGACCTGTTGCGTCGGGTCGATGGACTTGGTTCCTTTGGAAAAAATGAGCAGGTGCCAGCAGCTGCTTCTGAGTGGTGGGTAGTAAGTTGGTTCGTGTTTGCCTCGGAATCGGGGAGGCAAGTCGCGCTTCGATGCCAGTTGGTGATAGGTCTCAAAGGCCAGTGTTGTTTATGGATGGCGAGGGGAAACAGCATGGGGGAAACAGAGCCGCGAAGCGAAGCACGATAGATGTATATGTATTGCCGGAAACGGAACCCGTGCCGAGTTTCGGACAAAGCATCACGGCGAGGACAAGGTGGGCACAAAGAGAGAGGACGTGGTCATTGTGGTTGAAGATGTTGATTGTGCTAAACCTGGACGTGCAAGACAAGGAAACGAGCTGGACCACGCGCTGGTGGTCATCCCTCGGACCGCTCTGATTCGGTGACCAGACAATGAGGTTGTCCCCCGACCGAATCGCGGTGGTCCCAGTGACCACTTGGCCCGGGATGCACTCGCGACTCTGCGACAATGGGGTGTGTGCGAGGTAAAAGGAGAGAATCTGCAGGGTATTAGCCATGTTGCTTCGAACGTCCCGGTGCTGATTGAAGGAAGAAGGGATATCAAGACGGAGAATCAGGTAAAAATGCCAAAGTTGTCGACAGCAAATTCCGAACAGGTCTGTGAATATTTGTGCTTGTCTCATCATGTTGTCTTGGTGGTAGGTAAAAAGGTGAAGTGAAATGTCAATGTGACTTACCACGGTCAAGAGGAAGGCCTCGATGTCCCATTCTACGCTCGAAGGAAATCGGAGCAAGGACAAAGAGGCCTGCGAGGGATGCCGCAGCGCGAGGTCAGCATGCATCTCGTGTCTTCTACGCCTGATGCATAGCAGAGGAGAAAAGCAGGGCGGACGGGCGAGGACGTGACGAGACGTAGATGTGATGGATGAGGTTGAATCGAGAGAGAAATTTCTCGCGGCTGCAAATTGAGGTAGAGAAAAGAGAAGTGGGCCCAGTGGCTGGTGTGTCGGTCGATGTGGCTGGTGATGGCAATGCTCGACTTGGGCCCGAGCTCTCGTGTCGGGACATTGTATTAGCCGATTCGCTCCCCCCTCTTCGACTAGCGCTTGGCAGGCTCCGTCTAGGCCAAGATGATCCCAAAAGAGAAGGAGGAGGGGGGGAAGCAGTCAGGATCCATCCCAGCAACAGGGCTCCGATCAGGCTTTGGATTTCGTTTCCGTCCAGCATTCATCTCCTCGCGAAACCTGAGTTAGGTATGAAGGCCTCCTAGAATATCCCGTCATTTTGACTTGACGCGAATCTAGACTATCACGCCCAAGACCCTTCGATGGAGGTACGAATTCGGGATCCCACCGTTCGATACTACAGTAACCGCTCTCGTCCATCAGTCGCATCGTCCACAGCAATCGAGCCCCTCCCAACTCTTCAGGTGGTGCCCCCAGGACCCTCGACTCGTGCGTTTTGCACCCGCCCTGGCGCCCTCCGCCTGGCCAGACCTCTAGGCCCTGTCCTGGCGTGAGACCCCTGAGCTACTACGTCACGAGGCCGCCTCTTCATTGGACAACCAACACAGTACCCTTTACCAGTACGACCTTTGCCAAAAGCCCATAGCCGTCTATCGCCGTAGCCGTCGCTTGCATCTTTAACTTGTTGCTCGTCGACACAGACCTGATCCGATCCGCCCCAAACGCACAACTTACCAACTATCCACCACGGCCGCCCCACGACTTGCTTTACTGCCCTTACGCTGGCGATTGCAGTCATGGCTGCACAGCTGGATCCCGGTCTCCAAGACAAGCTCGACGAGCTAGAGAAAGAATTGGAGGTGCGTCTGCTGTTGTGGTACCCCCGCATTGAAAGTCCGCGGCGATTGAAGACACACGACCAACGAGCGGCCAAGAGCAAGCCAACGTCGGGTCGACACAGTCGCCGCCTCAACCCCCCTTGGATATGAATTGACGCTGCGCCCCCTACCGCTGGCATACTTGTCTCTCGCTTTATGGAATGCGCCGGCTGCCCGAACTTGCAAGCTAACCATCGTGATCCCAACTGTAGGAAGGCGACATCACAGAGAAAGGGTAGGGCCAGATCTACTCAGAACGATCCAGACAAGCCGACTAACGCGCCGTCGCAGCTACCAGAAACGCCGCACACAACTTCTTTCCAGCTTCTTTGGCCCAGGCGCGCAACCAGGCATCATCGATCCGAGAACAGGCTTGGGCATTCAGCCCCAGCAACAAGCAGAGCCCGACCACGGCAGCAACGATGGCCATCGAGCTGCCGCACTCGCAGCCCTTGGTGGCAGGGACTCTGATCCGACGAGTCCGACATCACCAAGCCAGCGTCCAGCCTCACCGTTCGGTCAGCGTCCCGGTTCTGACTACGCCTCTCCCGCCGAAGTGAGCCCCGCCGGGTTGCTTCGTCCCGGCGGGCCACTCGCTGAACACCGACCGACGATGCGAGCCCACGATTCTCTCTTCCTCTCCCCCGCACCCGAACCATCCACACGAACAGGCACCATGGTGTCGGGCGACTATGCGTTCAACCCCGACCAGCAGGACGCATACGACAACCAGGCCGGCTACGCAGACCAAGGCCCGTATCAAGATCAGTACCAAGACCAATACCAGCCGCAGTACGACAGCAGATCAGGGACCATGCTCGACTCGACGGGCTATTTCTCTGGGTTCACTGGCCAGCAGGCCTTTGACCATGGCCCGGCGCCGCCATCGCGCGGCGATGACTACCCCCCTCACCCCCACCGATACTCCTCGGGCGAAGCCTTCTCTCCGACGGCAGCAATGGCACCGCCCCTATTGACGGCGAACGACCTGCCGCCCCCAGAAGGTCTTGAGTACCAGATGCCTCTCGAGCCGAGAGAGGTTCCGTTTGCCATCCATGACCCTCACGATGCCAACACGCCAATGTCAAAGTTTGACAACATTGCTGCTGTCCTGCGCCACCGCGGCCGTACAGCTTCCAAGATGCCTGCTTATTGGGTCTTGGACAACAGGGGCAAGGAGATGGCATCCATCACTTGGGACAAGCTCGCCTCGAGGGCTGAAAAGGTCGCGCAGGTCATCCGTGACAAAAGCTCGCTATACCGAGGAGATCGCGTCGCCCTCATCTACCGTGATTCCGAAATCATCGACTTCGCGATTGCGCTGCTGGGATGTTTCATAGCTGGTGTCGTCGCGGTCCCCATCAATGACCTGCAGGACTACCAGAAGCTCAACCTGATCCTCACATCAACGCAAGCGCACCTCGCCCTGACCACAGATCAGAACTTGAAGGCGTTCCAGCGTGACATCACCACTCAGAAGCTGAACTGGCCTAAGGGGGTGGAATGGTGGAAGACGAACGAATTCGGAAGCTACCATCCTAAGCGCAAGGAGGATGTTCCGCCATTGACTGTTCCCGACTTGGCATACATAGAATTCTCGAGGGCCCCAACAGGCGATTTGAGGGGTGTTGTGCTCAGCCACCGCACCATCATGCACCAAATGGCTTGCATGAGCGCCATCGTGTCTACGCTTCCCGGCAACGGACCTGGCGACACGTTCAACCGCCATCTCCGGGACAAGAATGGGAAACTGATCGGCGCAGGCGCTGCCAGCGAGACGCTTCTTTCTTACCTCGATCCGCGACAGGGCATCGGCATGATTCTCGGCGTTCTCTTGACTGTCTACGGTGGCCACACCACCGTCTGGGTGGACAGCAAGGTGGCCGAGGTCCCTGGCCTGTACGCAAACCTCATCACCAAGTACAAGGCCACAATTCTTGTCGCGGACTACCCAGGCCTGAAGCGCGCCGCATACAACTATCAACAAGATCCAATGACCACTCGAAACTTCAAGAAGGGCATGGAACCCAACTTTCAGACGGTCAAGATTTGCCTGATCGATACCTTGACCGTCGACAGCGAGTTCCATGAAGTACTGGCTGATAGATGGCTGAAGCCGCTGAGGAATCCTAGAGCCAGAGAGGTTGTCGCGCCCATGTTGTGCCTCCCAGAGCATGGCGGCATGATCATAAGTATCCGGGATTGGCTCGGCGGCGAAGAAAGGATGGGCTGTCCCTTGAAGTTGGAGCTTGGGTCAGATGTCGACTCAGACACGGAAGAAAAGGAAGTGAAGCCGACTCCGTCGAATGGCTTTGGCAGTCTCCTGGGCGGTGCAACAACTGCGACTGAGCAAAAGTCAAAGAATGACCTGAGCTCGGTTCTGCTCGACAGAGAAGCCCTGAAGACCAACGAAGTCGTTGTGGTTGCTATTGGGGACGAAGTAAACAAGAGAGTTAGCGACCCCGCGACAGTGCGTGTTGGTGCCTTTGGATACCCCATCCCAGATGCTACGTTGGCCGTTGTGGACCCTGAGACCGGCTTACTGTCGTCTCCTCACTCAGTGGGCGAGATCTGGGTTGATTCGCCATCCCTTTCTGGTGGATTTTGGGCACTGCCAAAGCACACCGAGCAGATCTTCCATGCTCGTCCTTACAAATTTGAGCCTGGCGAGCCAACGCCTACGGCAGTCGAGCCCGAGTTCTTGCGAACAGGTCTCCTAGGTACCGTCATCGAAGGCAAAGTCTTTATTCTTGGCCTGTACGAAGACCGTATCAGGCAAAAGGTGGAATGGGTAGAGCACGGCACCGAGCTCGCCGAGCACAGATATTTCTTCGTCCAGCATATCGTTGTCAGTATCGTCAAGAACGTTCCGAAGATCTACGACTGTTCTGCCTTTGACGTTTTTGTCAACGATGAGCACCTGCCAATCGTCGTCCTCGAATCACCAGCAGCATCAACAGCTCCGTTAGCCTCTGGTCAGCCGCCGAGACAACTCGACACGCCACTATTGGAATCACTGGCTGAGCGATGCATTGACGTTCTCATGCAAGAACACCACCTCCGCCTTTACTGCGTCATGATCACGGCGCCCAACTCCCTGCCCAGAGTGCTGAAGAACGGTCGTAGAGAGATCGGCAACATGCTCTGCCGGCGCGAGTTTGATCTTGGCAATCTGCCTTGTGTTCACGTCAAGTTTGGCGTTGAGCATGCTGTCCTCAATCTGCCCATCGGCGTAGACCCAATGGGTGGCATCTGGTCCAACCTTGCCTCGGAATCACGCGCGGACATTTTGATGCCGACCGACAAGCAGTACTCTGGTATCGATCGCCGAGAGGTCGTCATTGATGATCGGACGTCGACTCCCCTGAACAACTTCTCCTGTATCACCGATCTCATTCAGTGGCGAGTCGCACGACAGCCTGAGGAGCTGTCGTACTGCACCATCGATGGACGCAGCAGGGAAGGCAAGGGTATCACCTGGAAGAAATTCGATACCAAGGTCGCAGCTGTGGCGTTGTATCTGAAGAACAAGGTCAAGGTTCGCCCGGGTGACCACATCATCATGATGTATACGCATTCGGAGGAGTTCGTCTTTGCGATACACGCATGTATCAACCTTGGTGCTGTCGTCATCCCCATGGCGCCATTGGATCAGAACCGTCTCAATGAAGATGTCCCAGCGTTCCTCCACGTTGTATCCGACTACAACGTCAAGGCCTGTCTTGTCAATCAAGATGTGGACCACCTCATCAAGATGAAGAACGTGGCGAGCCACATTAAGCAGTCGGCACAGATCCTCAAAATCCCCATCCCCAACTACTTCAACACCACGAAACCTCCAAAACAAAACAGCGGTCTCCGAGACTTGGGGATCACGATGCAGCCAGCCTGGATCCAGCCGGGCTACCCCGTCATTATCTGGACGTACTGGACTCCTGACCAGCGGCGAATTTCAGTTCAACTTGGCCATGACACGATCCTTGGCATGTGCAAAGTCCAGAAAGAGACCTGTCAAATGACGAGCTCCCGCCCTGTGCTTGGCTGTGTTCGCAGCACGACTGGTCTAGGGTTCATCCACACGTGCTTGATGGGCATCTACATTGGCACTCCAACCTACCTTCTCTCGCCGGTCGAGTTTGCGCAGAATCCCATGTCACTCTTCGTCATCCTTTCGAGGTATAAGATTAAGGACACGTACGCAACACCTCAAATGCTGGACCACGCCATGGCTATGACGCAGGGCAAGGGCTTCACGCTCCACGAGCTCAAGAATATGATGATCTCGGCAGACAGTCGCCCCCGCGTCGATGTGTTCCAGAAAGTGCGTCTCCACTTCGCAGCTGCTGGACTCGACAGGACAGCCATCAACACCGTGTACTCACACGTGCTGAACCCCATGGTGGCCTCGCGGTCATACATGTGTATAGAGCCGATCGAATTGTGGCTCGACACCAAGGCGTTGCGACGCGGCCTCATCATTCCCGTGGACCCAGACTCGGAACCGAAACCGTTGATGATCCAAGACTCTGGCATGGTGCCTGTCTCAACGCAGATCGCCATTGTCAACCCCGAGAGTCGCATGCTGTGCCATGACGGCGAGTACGGCGAGATTTGGGTAGACTCGGAGGCATGCGTCAAGTCATTCTATGGATCTAAGGATGCCTTTGACGCAGAGCGTTTCGACGGCCGCACGCTCGATGGTGACCCGAGCATTCCCTACGTCCGCACCGGTGACCTCGGGTTCTTGCATAACGTGAGCAGGCCTATAGGACCTGGAGGTGCGCAGGTAGATATGCAAGTCCTATTCGTGCTCGGGAACATTGGAGAGACTTTCGAGATCAACGGTCTCAGCCACTTCCCGATGGATATTGAGTATTCAGTCGAGCGCTGTCATCGTAGCATCGTACCGAGCGGATGGTAAGTCTCACCGTGCCTGATATCTGTAGTAATGCTAACCCAGAACAGCGCCGTTTTCCAGGCTGGAGGTCTCGTAGTGGTCCTCGTGGAGGTGGCGCGTAAGTCGTACCTCGCCTCTATCGTGCCAGTCATCGTCAATGCTATCCTCAACGAGCACCAAATCATCGTTGATATTGTCGCTTTCGTCGGCAAGGGCGAGTTCCCTCGCTCGCGTCTCGGCGAGAAGCAGCGAGGAAAGATCCTGGCTGGCTGGGTGACGCGTAAGTTGCGCACTATGGCTCAATTCGCCATTCGCGACATGGATCCATCTGAAATGGGTGGCGAGTCGGGCACCGCAGACTCTGCTGACCCTAACCGTGCTTCGGTCGTCAGCCAACGCAGCTCGGGCGTCCCAGCAGCGGGGGCCTCGAGTCTTCGCAACGTTGAGCATGCGCCGCAAATCCTGGAACAGGAGGAGTTTGAGCAGCAGATGGGCCACATTGCATCAATGCCGCCGGCTGAGATGCCCGGCGACCAGCGCCAGGCATACGCGGCGACGCAGTCGTCCAGCGACTCGCAGACCGCCCGCGGCCAGCCCTCACTCTCAGGCAGCGGCCACGCCGGGCAGTATGGCTCGGGTGACTATGCACAATATGGCGAGGAGGTGCCACCGGCTGTGGCACCCAAGCCGGGCGCACACGGAGGTGTCGGGCCGCCGCAGCTCCGGCTCCCAGGCGTCGACGGGCGCGAGAGCATGGAGCTCTGGCGCAAGGGCAATGAAGGGCCCACTGATGAGGAAGACTGGACCCGGGATGCGATCATGCACATGAACCTGGCCAACGATATGGATCGGCGGCAGTAAAGCGCTGATCAGCCATGCATGGTCGTCGGGTCTGCTGAAGCGGTGATTGCCGCGCCCCTACATGGGATGGGGTTGAAGGTTGGATACCTAGAAAAAGGAGTGCGTCGGTTCGTTTATTAGCATAGGAGGGTGTTCTCGCGTAGGTTGCTGGACCTAATACCACTTGTTCGACTTGTCTTCCTCAAGAACCCTGGCCTCGGCCCATGTGTCCTGCGACGCTATGGTTGTGAATTTTGCTCGATTCAATGGGCCCCAGGACGTTGGGCTGGTGCAGGGACAGCGAGGGCGGCTGCTTGATCCTGTCTTGCAGCTCCCTTATACTTGAGGCGTGATACAGCAAGATGATTGGGTCCGTCCGCGTTGCGAAAGGGGAGCTGCACAGGGAAGCAGCAACACTGGAACAGGAAAGGAGAAGACAATGACAAGGGCAAGCATGAGGGATGGGTCCTCGCAACGAGTGAGTTTCATTTTGACAAGTGATCGTATCCATGTTCGCTATGCCGGATATGCTATAGAAGCCCATTATTTTGCTCGGTCCCAATGCTCTACGTCGACGGCTGTCTTCAATACTGGTTCTGATGATATCTCTCCTCCCGGTCCTTTTCTCTCTTGAGCTTCTCCTCGAACCGCCGCCCCTCGGTCCTGGCATCCTTCTCTCCACCCCCGGACCCTCTCGTCGCCTGCTCCACAAGCCCGACGGCCTCAGCAACGACATCGTCACCACGCCGCCACGTGTATAACCTCACTCCGTGTGCGGTCAGCGTTTCGTGTGCCCGCTGTAAGCGGCGGTTCCATAGTTCGACCTTCTTGTTGACAGCCGTGGCGCCAAGGGGTGGTGAACCCGATGGCGTGCCACTCGTCGACTGCGTGTTTGTGCGCCGGGGGCCGACAGGCGGCGGCACAAACGACGAGGATGGAAGGGGATCAAAGTCCACGTCTTCGTCGGCGGCTGGGCGCTGACGACCGGGGGCGACTGAGCGGGGGCTGGTGCTGCGGATGCTGGAGGGGGTGTCGCGGCGGCGTGGCGGCGGAGGCGGCGGCGGCGCAGTGCGGCCGGAACGAATGGAGGAGTCACTCGTGCGGGTAGAAGCTGGAAGCCTGGCGTTATCAGGAAGACTGCTCGTGCTGCCTAATGTTTGCTGCGAGAGATTGTGTGTTTGGGATAGGGGATGGGCAGTGGGCCGGTCTCCAGGCACCTTCTTACGGGGCAGGGGAGGCGTCGGAATGCCCTTTGAGTTTTGCGGCCTTAGGTCTGCGCCCAACGTTTGTGCTTTCTCATCGGACGGAGAGCTTCGTAATGACGCTGGCTTGACCGGTCGAGGTGGTGCCTGTCGCGTAAGAAGGTCGGTCGTGCTCGCCGAGTGCCTCGGTTGGCGGTCAGCTTGTAGCTGCGAGACCTTAGCGGTGTTGTTCGCTGCTGTAGACTCGGGTTCGTCGGAGAAGTCGATGAGATCTCCCATCATCGGACCCGTCGTCTTTGATGTCTCACCGCGCGGCGGCAACGCCGGCCGTTGATGAGGCTCATCGTCTGCAGTTGCCCTCCGCGATATGTTGCCCCTGCCGAAACGACGAGTCAAAGAAGCCGGTCTGTTCTGGGGTAGTGACATCCTTGATGAACACGGCAAGGATGCGGTCTGGGTGAGAGACAACAAGCTCGGTGTAGACCTCAAGGTCGGCTTCGCCGCTGTCACCAACAAGCATGAATTTGCGCTCGGGGAAGTCCTTCAACAGCCTGCAGAGCGTGCTGCGCTTCCTCTCGGCGACAGGTTCAAAAATGCCCTGGAGCATGCCGCTGTACTGCTTGAGGTGGAGGGATCCCGGCGGCAGACCAGCAATCATGAAAAAGCTTGCCAGCACGGGAAACAGTTGCCAGGGGCTGTTTGAGCAGTAGTGTATGCTCACACCCATGTGATGCATCTTCCCGTACCATTCCTTAACGCCTTCGACGGTAAGATCGCGGAGCTCTCGGATAAATGTATTTCGAAAGATCTCTTTGGCGCCGCCCGAGATGTTGGAGCGCTTGACTGTGTCATCAATGTCGCTGATTAGACTGACGCCTTTGGGCTCTATGATCTTGATTTCTTGGGTTGCTGAAAGGTTTTCGTTTGCCAAGACGCGAACATGCGTAGGGACAAACTCGAGAGCTGCCCTGACCATGAAATGACCTGCCTCGTTCGTCTCGACCGTTCTTGATGCCGAGTGCTCGTCGTTATAGAAGAAGATGGTTATTGGCTGCTCCACCAAGGGCGTCGTCATGAATGGCGCTATCCTCGCCATGAGGTTCGCATTAGCCACTGCCAGCTCTGCGTCAGTAAGTTCATTGCTGGTGGTGTACTGCCTTGCCACAGATTGCGGAGAGCCTGGCGCGGATCCCAGCGTAGGATTGGGACTTCGCGATCGCGACCTCGAGTTGTAATCCCCAATCAACTCGCCATCGTCACCTCGAGCCGGCTCGCTATAGCCTCCGTGGTAGGCCACCCTCTTCTCTTCTTGACCCTTCTTCTCGATCTCGGCGGCCTTTTGGGCGATTCTCTCTTGCTCACGTCGTTCCTCGTGCGATTCATGCATGGCGAGAAAGCCTGTCTCTCCGCTTGACGGCTTGACGTCAGACTTTGGCGCCGGGATGCCGCTCAACTGACGCGCCAGACCGATCAAGACACGGTTCCTCCGCGTGACCTGGCCCCTGTGCGGTGAATATATCCATCCACGGACGTCAACATCGACAATGGCGCGCTCGTCCTGGTCCCGCTCCCACTGCTGTCGCCACCAGTCTTCGTCCTTGGTGCCCTGTTGCGAGTTTGGTTGCTGCTGCTGCTGCTGCTCGGGTAGCTGGGCCCATTCCCCCTTGATATGGCGCTTCGCATAAGAGGGGAAGATGACCATCTGGTCGTTCCCTTGCACAGTGATGGCTACGTCAGGGAAGGATCCGGGGATCGTCGTCTTACCGAGCCCGTCGTCCTGCGTCAGCTCGCCCGCCCTGGGTATGTGCGCGTAGCCCTCTCGAATTTCGTTCACCGCGGTCGCACCGGCACGGTACATGTTGTTGGCCATGGCGGCAAGCTTCCCTACGCCTGCCGCCGCCGACTGCTGTGGCGGGATCGGACCCATATGCGCCTGGCCCGCCGCCAAAGCCTGGCAGGGTAGGCATCTTCCTCTTCGACTTATTCTGCTGCTGGGATCGCGTCCTCGCATAGCGCGCCGGGCGGGTGCCGGTGCTTCCTGGGTTCGGGCCGAGGAGCAGGCCGCGGCCCCGACGGAAGACGGTGCGAACAGCGGCGGCGACGCCGGGCTTTCGCTGTCTCTTGAGGATGTACTGGTAGATGCGAGACTGGAGGCGGTGCTTGTAGTAGGGGAGAGTATCGAGGTGGAAACCGAGCAGGCGCTCACGATAGCGCTCGCGGAGGGACTGGGGGAAGAGGTAGCGCAGGAGGCTGAGTCGGTGATGCGGGTGTGGTGTCGTCGAGCGCGGGACTGCGAACCGCCAGCGTCTGAAAGGAGCCAGCTTGTCTGCTTATGAGGCAGAAGGAAAGGGCAGCAGGTTCAAACCGGCGATGGTTGTCACCGGTGATGCTCGACGATCGGGGGCGACGTGTCAATGCCAATCAACGTCTTTGTTCTGTCGGCGTGTTACTGGCAGTGCCTTTGTTACCGAAGGTTGGCTAAACTGCTGGAGCTCACGGCCGGCAGGCGATGATGTCTCCTGACCCCCACGCTTCGCAGCTGATGGAGATGGGCCTGGGAGGTGATGGAGGCACCTGACAGCACGGTGGACGATCGCGGGGTAAGGCGACTTGTCGAGGGGATTGTCGAGGTGGGAGGATCCGAGACACGTGCTGTCCGGAGGTGTCGGGAGGGTAAGTCGAAGAAGGGGCAGGGAACTCGTGATAGGGTTGTGTGCCTGGGCTGGGTGCTGGTTGTCAAGCTGCAGGAGGTAGGCTTTGGACGTAATGCTTGGCTGGATTGCAGTGACGACGCCTTTGCTTTGCTGGGCCGTTGCTTTGCTGGGCCGTTGCTTTGCTGGGCGGCTGGGCGTGTCTTGGGCAGGCGGGCAGTTGGGGCAGTCGGGCGAACCTACCTCAGGAACAGGCTTGACTGTGGGCCTAGGCAGGTGCCGCACTCCCGACGCCTTCCTTGCCCCCCATCCCAATTATTGTTCGTCCCTGCCTCTGACCTCTGACCCTCTGATGTCAGGCCTCGCGCATGCCATCACGTGCATTGAGCTGCTCGACTTCCTTCTGGCACTCGTCATCGAGTGCCTTACTTGTACCACTCAAGATGCACGTCAACCCAGATTCGATCTATGCTGCTAATGACGCTGAGCTCACATTTTAAGTATCGAACGGTGAGCGGGAGAAGGGATGGCCAAGACAACCCCTGGCGTCAACCGCCTAGGTAGTACCCAAAACGACCTTACCAATCACGCTTACACGGGGCTGGAGCTCCAGAAGTCGAAGGTTTGTGCCGGGTGACGAGGCTTTGCTTGCGGATACTCGATGAGAGCCTCAATTAAGGCTGTAGACAATGCGTGCTCCTGCTTGATTAGCCCTTGGCCAATGTCAATCGAGCATATATATATATATGTGTGTGTGAGCCGCTTGGTCACCCACATGTATTATCGATACCGCGTGGAAGACGTCAATCCATGTGCGTCGTTAGTTTTCATTTTCCGAGATCACCCCCTGGCCAAGTTGTACCTACCATGTATCTTGTCGAGGAGCTCTTCGGAAGGGCGCTTCCTTGGCTGGCTCCCCCGGTTGTGGGCCATTGATTGTCCGTTCACGGTGAGTAGACCAAGTGCGAATAGATCGACGCTGCTGAATTGTTGATGCGATTTCTCAGTAAGTTCGAGGAGTTCCAAGGAGCGGAGAGATGGCACCTCGAGAAATTCGGCAGCACAAAACAGGGAAACAGAGAGCGGCGAGAACAAATGGATGTCTGACGGCTTTCGAAAGTGACAGCAATGACGGACAGCGTGCATGAGGTCGGAGAAGGACCTCGAATTGTTTGTTTGCTCTACTCCAATCTGTGGTCTGAGTGCAGTGCTCACAATAACCAACCTGCAATTTGGGCTGCAGACGAGTTTCTTGAGGCAACATATTACACGTCAGAGTACACATTGGTGGCCAGCGCGATACTTAAGTTCAAAGCCGCTGAAGATAGTCCACACAGAAAGTGACGAGGCACCAAGAAAAACGCTGATCTGGTATACTCCTACAACCTGCGGCGACACTATACTGAGAAACGACTCTACCTCCGCTTGCCCACGCGCGCTTTTGTCTTCTTGCCCGCCGCAGCCTTGATCTTCTTCGGCATCCGTGGCTTCTTGACATCCAACACGGCGCCCTTGCCCGCCCTCTCCGCCTTGCCCTTCTTCCACGTCGGCGCCTCGCTCCTCTCGGCTCTCGACTCAGCCTTCTTCTTGTCCTTGTTGCTCATCTTGCCGCCACCCTTCTTCTTCTCATTCTTATCGCCATTGAGTTCCGCCCGGCCCGCCTCCTTGGCCGACTTTTTGTCCTTCTCCGACTCGAACCAGGTGCGGCGCGGCCGCGACTTGATTTCGTCCTCGTGGTTGATCAGGTTCTCACCCTTGCGCACCTGCATCTCCACCTGCGCCAGCTGCCTCTCTTCCTTCTCTTCCTCGTTGATCTCCTCAATCTCCTCTTCCATCTCGTCCACCTTGTCCTGCCACTTGTCCGCCTCACCGGCCTCGATGACGCGGCTCAGAATCTTGGCGCCCTGGGCCTTGCCTGCCTTGACGGCAGCCTTGACGACCTTGCGGTCCGGCTCGGCGGCGAGGGTCACGGCCACACCTGCGCGGCCGGCACGGGCGGTACGACCGACTCTGTGCACATAGATTTCGAGCTTTTGCGGTGCCTCGTAGTTGATGACCGTGTCGATGCCCTTGATATCAAGACCACGCGACGCAAGATCCGTGGCCAACAGGTAAGAAACCTTGCCATCCCTAAAGTCTTCAACACTTTGAATACGCTGTATCAAGTCAGTAGGATTCTCCGGGGGGACGGGGATCTTCGAGGGCGTACCTGTGTCTGATTCATGCTGCCGTGGAGTTCCGCGCAAGACAAGCCGAGCAGACCGAAAATGATGCGCGCGCGGTGCGCGTCCTTCTTCTGGCGGAAGAAAATGATAACGCGCTCCGTGTACAGCGTCTTGCAGATGAAGAGAAGGTAGCCCATGCGCTTGCTCTCGCGGCCGGGTCGCAACCTGATGAACTCTTGGGTCAGTGTCGTGACCGTCTTCTTCTGCGAGTCCACCATGACCCGCGCTGGCGTGTTCATGCCGACACGGATGAGCCTGTCGACCGAAGACGTCATGGTGGCGGAGAAGAGCATCGTCTGGCGAGACTTGGGCATGCTCGTCAGAATCTCGTTCAGTTCGTCGGCGAAACCGTCCTCGAGCATACGATCGGCTTCGTCGAGAACCAGAATCTCGACGGCGTCGACGGCGAAGCTTGCCGAGTTGCGCATGTGATCGATGAAACGACCAGGTGTGGCGATGATGACGTCGGGACGCAGGCGCAGCTCGGCTTCCTGCATCTTCAGACTCAAACCACCGACGGCGAGGGTGAACTTGATGTCTGTGTAGGCGGCCAATTTCGTGGCGACCGAGTGACACTGGATGGCCAATTCACGAGTGGGCGTGAGGATGACAACGCGGCTGGTGGGGACCTTTTTCGGTCGGTAGAGAAGACGCTCCAAAATAGGCACCACGAAGGCGGCCGTCTTTCCGGAACCGGTCACGGCACCACCGACAAGATCCTTGCCCATGAGAGCAATGGGAATGGTCTTTTGCTGAATTGGCGTTGGCTTGGTGAACGACACGCCTGCCAAACCGCGGAGGATGGGTCGCGAGAGCGACATGCCCTGGAAAGGAATTGGCGGCGGCCTTCTTGCCAGGCTTGGCCACTTCTTCTGGCGCAAAGAATGCATCGCGCTTCGCCTTCTCCTCGGGATCCTCGTCGTCACTCAAGTCCGACTCGACGTCGTCTGGGTGGTCCACAGGTGTTGCGATCGAGTCGTTGTCGGAGGCTGCATCGTCGCCGTCTTCTGCGCCCTCTTCGTCCTCATCCTCAGCCTCAGAGCCCTCGTCTTCAGAGTCAGCGCCCATGCCGAACGCATCATCGGCAAGAACGCCGTCCTCGTCGTCCTCGAGGTCCAGTTCCATATCGTTGGCGTCCTCAGCTGGCGCCTCCTCCTCGGCCGCCTCTCCATTGGTTTCCTTCTTCTTCTCTAGCCTCCTGCGAATGATGTCGTCGAGATCGAGGCCAATCTTCTTGGGCTTCATGCTGCTCTTAGCGCCCTCAAATCCCCAGCCCTCGAAATCGGCCTCGCCAAATTCCTGGGCGCCGTCCTGGATGTACTCGAAATCCGGATCCATGGCTCCATCGTCGGAATCGTTCTGTCCCCAGATACCCTCGCGTGCTTCATCTTCCTCTTCTTCAGGGGTCGACTCCTTGCCCTTCTTTCCCTTCTTGCTCTTGCCCTTGACCTTGGTCGTGGTCTTTGCCTTCTTCTTGGGTGGGGCAACAGGAGCCTTTTCCTCGTCGGAGATTTCGCCCTCGTGGTCGGAGAGTGTGAGAACAAAGTCGTCGTCGACGGTTTTGCGCTTCTGACCGGGAGCCATGGTGGTTGGTTGCTTGATCGCTGAGATCGCGGCCTAGGGAAGCTGTCGTCTTTGTCGTCGTGGGGTACGCAGTGTAGGTCCGGGCCTCTCACTGAAGCAGCGGCGATCTGCGTCCAGAATTTTTTCTTGAGCTTGGTGGAGTGAAATGTTTCTGCCGGACTTCTAGCTCGGCGGGTCAAAGGCGGTCAGCAGAAGGCGGTCAGGAGGGTGGCAGGAGTGCAGCACGTGATCATCAACGCTCGTCGTTCACGACTGAATGACTAAGACGGGCTACCGCGGGGTCAGGGGTTGATTCACCCCACCACGGTTGATTGGACGACCAAGAAACAGCACTCTGTCGCTGCCTCGCTGGTGCCAGCAATTTCGCAGGCCCGGTGGAGGTCGACTTTCCGCGTGGTGACGAAGGACGAAAATCCACCACCACCTTCCTTCTCCTTCCGAACCGTCCTGCAACAAAACATCCCACCAGACTTCGGTTTTCCGCGTTGCGCATCTCCTGTTTCGAGTCGTAGCTCCTCTTGCTTGGCCTTTGCTCTCTCAGTCTCTCTGCGCATTGCGTTCCATCCATAGCCCCTCCTTCGAACCCACCACAACACAACAATCAAGATGGGCGAATCTAGGTACGGAGAACCACTCGCCTCCCGATGTTGTCTTTGGTGCATTTATGCGCCCTAAACAACCCCCACCCCCAATCTCGAGTCATCACTAACGAAGATGCTCGTGGTAGGCAAGAGCTTGTTCAGTGGCTGAACAGCCTTCTGCAGCTCAACATCACCAAGGTCGAGCAATGTGGTACTGGGTAAGCACATTTCCTCCACAGTCGGCGGTCGACCCCCCCCCCACCTCCCATGGCTCACAAAAATCGCCCTTCCAGCGCCGCCCTCTGCCAAGTGTTCGACAGCATCTTCCTCGATATCCCCATGTCTCGTGTCAAGTTCAACGTCAACTCTGAATATGCGTACATTCAGAATTTCAAGATTCTGCAGAGTGAGCCTACCAACTTTACCTCTCTCTCTCTCTCTATGCCCCCCCACCTCTACCCCTCTATCCCGACGCGCGACTGACTTGCCATCCACCCCGCAGACTGCTTCCACAAGCACCAGATTGACAAGCCCATTCCCGTCGAGAGTTTGGCCAAGTGCAAAATGCAGGACAACCTCGAGTTCCTGCAGTGGAGCAAGAAGTTCTGGGACCTCAACTTCCCCGACCATGAGTATGACGCCGTGGCGCGGCGCAAGGGCGGCACTCTCGCCGCCGGCGGTGCCGCGCCCCGCGCTGCCGTCGGAGCCGGTGCCGGCGCCGCCAGACGCGGTGGCACGACGCCCACGACGGGCGGACCGCGCACGGCCAAGGCGGCCGTGGGCCCCGGCACGGCGGCCCTGCAGAACGAGAACGCGACGCTGAAGGAGACGGTCGTCGGCCTCGAGCGTGAGAGGGACTTTTACTTCAGCAAGCTGCGTGACATAGAGCTCCTCGTGCAGCAGGCCGTGGACGAGGACCCCCAGCTCGAGAAGCAGGAGGACGGACTCGTCAAGCAGATCCAGGCCATCCTCTACTCGACCGAGGAGGGCTTCGAGATCCCTGCCGAGGATCAGGTGGACGACCAGGAGACGTTCTAAGCTGTGAACTGGGGGCAGTGGCGACTATTTGCCTGGATGGGGTCATACAACAGACTCTGGGATTGCCAGCCGGCAGGAAACAAGGCATCCAGGCATACGAGAAGACGGGAGAGGGAGAGAGAAGGAGCAAGAGCGGATGCTGATGGAGACTGGGGACGAATCGGCACAAATACCCCGAGGGATAATTGAAGGTGCTGGACTATGGGAACGTCAGATGGGCTCTCGACCAGTCCCTGGGAAGTACCCTACCCTCCTTTTGA